TCCCCAGCGCTGCACCGAGTCTGCCCTGCCCCACCTCCATCCCTGCTCCCAGCCTCCTACCCTGCCCTCCTCCCCAGCTTTCAGCCCTCTCACAAACCCCCAGCTCACCTCAGCCCAGGCTCCCTGGCTTGTCTGAGGAGCCAGTGAGGGTCTGGGTCTAAGATTGGGGGAGGGAGGCGGGCTTCCAGGTCCATGGCCTGGTGGGTGGCTGGTCCTCTCCAGGTGTCCCCAGGAAAGCAGTGGGGGGAACCATCACCTGCCACTCCAGAGGGGCCTCAAGGCTGCACAAAGTGACCTGCAGATAGTCAGTTTCACTTCCCTTTACCCTCAAGGTTCAGCTGCACTAAACACTTTGAACACCCAGCTCTAAAATGGACCGACAGACTTGCTTCAGGTTTAACCAAGGATGGGAACAGGACCAACGGCCCTGTCCTGAGCCGGGCTCTGCTGCAGCAGGCCTAGGTGGGGGCAGTGGTCCCAAAAGTGAGGCCTGGCTGGGGCTTCTGAGCAGGAGGCTGCTGGGCGGGGCCAGGCCCTCTGAGGCTCCCCTGCTCCTGGCCCCAGAGCTGGTGACTGCCCCTCCCCCAGGCCTTCACCCTCACAGAAACCCCAGCAGAAACAGGAGGCCTCCAGCCAGTTGTGTAGTGTGCAGAATGCAAGGGCTTTCTTTTTCACTTGGGGAGACAACAAGATGTGACAACACCAGAAACAAGACAAAGGTTCCGACTGACAATTCCGGCCAGTGCCGAAGGCATCACAGAGAAACACAAAGACATCCACGACACGTCTGCCTTTGGAGAAGTTCTACCATCCAGGACAGACTGCAAATAAATAAAGTGCATCGAGACCCCATCACGCAGCAAGGGCCCTGTGGGGGAGAGAAAGCATGGCCAGAGGGGAGGCGGGAAGCAGTTTGCCATCCACTCAAGGCCAGGCCAGTGCCAGGAACACGAGGCCGAGGCCTGCTCTCTGCCCTCTCTTACTAATCTCTTTGGATGCAGACAGCCACAGGCCAAGCCAGGGCCCCGGGCAGGCCTGGGGTCCACAGCAGCAGGGCCGCTGAGGGTCGGGCCCGAAAGCGGCACACTCATCCCTGCCTGTTCGGAGGGCCTCCAAGGCCCAGGCCAGCCCCTGGCACAGGGCAGGGTGGGCACCTGGAATGGCTACTCCTGCTCCTCAGCTCCACCGCCACCACCCTCACAAGCAGACACAGGCACATGCTGCTCCCATGTGTGCACAGGGGCACACTCAAATTCGTACACACACTCAGTGAAGGGCCTTCCTCTTTCCTTCCATGCTGGCCCAGGAAGGGGCTAGAGCTGGGCATCCGGTCACTCAGAGGGTAGGACCAGGGTGGAAGAGGGCCACACCTGGGGCGCAGACCCTAGGAGGCCCTGGCTCCTGCTTCCCTCTTCTCCAGCCCTGTGTGGCTCCTGTCTCTCACAGGTGGCTCCCAGAGAGCACCCCTGGGTGGACTCAGAGGCTGAAAGTTCACCAGAGGGGGTCCCGGGGAGACAGGGGAGGGGGAACCAGGGAGACCAACAGGACTTGGCGCTTGGGGGAGATCTGGCACAAGGACGGAAGCCATGGGGCTCAGGCTGTGGGAAACCTCAGGGGCCAAGTGACAGCAGTCTTCCAGCCTTTGTTTTTAGGGTGAGGCAGACCAAGTTCTTCATGCAGGACCTTGGCTGCAATGGGCAGCTTTGGAGTGGAGATGGTAGGAGGCGGGACCACGCTGTCCTTGGGGGGCCAGACTGCCGCAGGTTCCAGTCCCAGGAACTGAGCAGAGCACGGGCCTGGAGCTACCACTGCCAGGGAAGCTGAGGGTGGGAACCGGGTAAGTGTGCTCCCTGGGTGGCTCCTGGCTGTTTGGGGACCACGGTTTCACTCCAGGACCAATCCCATCAGTTGGGATGAGCTTTATCCCACGTGATACTGGGGATGGGGGCCTGAGCCTGGGGACCGACAGATGCAGGCATGCCATGGGTCTCGGCCCTATCCCAGCCCCAGGTTTATCTCTTCACCCTCCTGGTCACCTCTGTCCCCAGAGCCACATGGCCACTATCATACTCCACCAGCAAACTAGGAGGCTGGTGTCACACAACTGCAGAGGAGCCTTTGGACAAGCTCGGGAAGGTGGGGACGGTGGGGAGGACGTGGCTCCCCAGCAAGGCCTGGGACCCGCCTCTTGTGGCCCTCCTCAGCTTGCTGTTCTTCCACATTTCCTGTGACCCTCAATCTCTCCTCAAGGAGAGCCAGACCCCCAGAATCCCTACCCCTGGGCCCCTATGTCCCTAGGTGTCCCGGCAGCTCTGTGCTCCCTCCCTAAGCTGCCAGGTCTGGGAGAAGCCTGCAGAAGGTAATCAAGCTCCAGTGCAGTGGCCAAGTCAGCTTCATCCCCTCCTGTGTGTGCCAAGCTCCGATCCCATCCCCTTCCCAGAGCCCCTTCAGGCTCGGTAGGTGGGAGAATCCACCTCCCTCACAGTGTTGCTTAGCAGATCTCCGTGCCCAGGGAACATGGGCCTCCTTCCTATGCCAGGCCCGGTCCCTGGGCCTCCCCACCCCCCTGGGCCTCTCCTGGCCAGGCGCTTCACTCTGCTGCTCCCAAGGCAGCTGCTGGACCAGGAACCTGACTCTTGATAAAGCCAGAGAAGAAGCGGCAACCATCCACAAAGACCAAGGCCTGAAAGAGAAAGAACAGGGAGGCTTCAGAGCTGCCCAGCCACCGAGAGGGGTCTTGTCCTCCTTTCCGCATCCTCCGCAACCCTCTTCTTCAGCTGCCCTCCTGGCCTGTCTGAGCACTGCAGCCTGCTCAGAGGGCTCCTCCCACTTTCTCAAATCCCTTGGGCACACAGTGGGCTCCTGGGCCGTCCATGGCTAGAGGGTGGGCTTGTGTTCCTGGGAAGGCAGAGGAAGACCCTGCAGGGAGCCTGGGCTGACAGGGCCAATGAGCAAGGCCGGGGAAGGGACAGGCCAGAACACCTTTCCCACTCTTCCCTAGCTGCAAGCTTTCCAAATGTCCTCAGATGTGGCTCGGGTGCAAGGGCTACAACAGGAGCAGACAGAGGCCAGTGCCCCGTCCCCAAATGCAAGGCAGGAGGCAGTTTGGGGAAGGGCTGTGGAGGGTGGTAGTGAGGTCCAGGGATCTGAGGACTGAGAAGCAGGCAGACCCGGGGTCTGGATGAGAAGAGAAGGAGTAGTTCTCTGTCTGTTGGCCTGAGACTGACGCAGGGGAAGGGTGGCTGGATCTGCTCTCCCCTGTGCCTTCCCCGGGCTTCTCTGGTCCATTCTTCCTTATTTCCCAGGGTTCAGGTGACATCATCCTTACCCGAGTAGGCGGGGCAGGGACTGGGGGACAGCAGAAGGGGGCTCTTGTCCATGTGCTGGTGATGGCGTGACCCGCTGGGATGCCCACCGTGGAGCAGGGCAGCACCTGCCCATGTCTGCCTTTCCTTTTCCTAGCTGAGCTGGGTAGCTTTTTGGGCTGCTCTCCCTGGCTGTCGTCCCCATTTCTCCCAAATCACCAAGGGGCCTCAACATCTAGAGGTCAAGGCACCCCCCCCCCAACCTGTAGCCTCCTACCTTTCAGTGCAGGGCCCTGAAAGTCAAGCTGCTGCCGCCGAATTCCTGCTTCCTTCTTACCCCTTTTGGCCCCTGTGAGGCAACAGGTCGGCTGAACCCGAAAATTTTTCGCGAGCCCACTGCCAAGGACCCGTTGCGCGGGTCCCCGCGGGGGGCCCGGGCGGAGTCCAGGGTCGGGTGCTGAGGTCGCCTGGGCGTCCACCCGCCGGGAGGTCTAGGGCCCAGGCTTCGGGCTGTGTCGCCTCCGCCCCCGCCGCGTCCCAGTGTCCCCGGGTGGCCCCGCCGTCCTTCCTGCAGCGTCCCGGCCCTGCGCGGTGGGCGGGCAACTCTCCCTCCCGCCGGCCCGGCCGCCGCCGCCAACGCCACCGCCACCGCCACGGCCACCGCCACCGCCACCGCCGCGGCGCTCACTCGATCCGCACCTGCAGGCGCACGTTGAACATCACCGAGGCCACCATGTAGAAGCAGGGGAAGTTGGAGCGCAGCCGCCAGGCCAGGTCGAAGAAGGTGAGCAGCGTGCGCGTGAGTCCCTTGCAGAAGGCGCTGTAGGAGCCGCGCACCGCCGCGGAGCGCGATAGCCGGACCGCCAGGCCCAATAGGGCCGCCGCCGCCGCCGCCGCCGACAGAGCCGCGGACGCCGCCATGGGCCCCGGCCGCCGCCGGCCCCGCCGACCTCGCGACCCGCAGGAGCGCGAGCCTAGAGGCAGCGGGACCCGAGTCCCTGAGCGCCCCAGCCGCCCCGAAGCCCCGCCCGCCGGCCCGCCGGCTCCCCGCCCTCGCCCCCGCCCCGGCTAGGGCCACTGCCCTGGCCACCACCTCCGCCCCTCCTCCCCGCCGGGGACCCGAGGCCCGCCGCCCGCTCGGCGGCTCCTCCTCCTCCTCCTCCTCCTCCTCCTCCTCCTCGCCGAGACCGCCCTCCGTGTGGCCCCGCCCCTATCAGGTCCCGCCCCCTTCCGGGAGCCGCCAAGTGGTCACCGCCCAGGACGGGGCTGTCTGGACGGGAGCCACGCCCTCCCCGCCACGCCCACGGGGCGGCCCTGCGGCGGAAGCCTCGCCCCTCTCGGAACCCTCCCCGGGGGTACTGCCCCGCCTCCTCCCGTGCTCCAAGGCACAGCCTGAGGCCAGGGCCTCTTGGGAGGCGCTGCTGCCAGGGACCCCTCTGGAGAAGTCCTAGGCTGCGGTGGGAGCGGAGGGCTGGCTGGTCTGGACCACCATGCTGATTCCGTTCGGGATGATCTTCCAGAAGCACCCGCCCACTCGCCCCGGCAGCCTCCCCCGTCCTCCCCCAGGAGAGCCAGACAGCCAAGCCCCTGGGCTTTAAGTCGCCTTTCTCTTGCTTTCGTTCGCGTCGTGCAGCGAGGGTAGCACGGGTGACTCCGCTCTCACACGCGTGCGTCGCGCTCCTTTGCTGGCGTATCTGCTGGTGGCAAATATGTCCTTACCGGGGAATTTCCCTTCCTAAGCACGTCTCTTAATCCACCGTGTGCCCTGCTTGCCGCACAAGTGTTCTGGCTTTCATTTGCCCTTATTTAGGGCCTTTTTGCTTGACTTGCTCGAAAGCTTTTTCGCGGTTTCGCGTCATCGTTCACCCGCGTAAAACAAACCCAACCCAAACCTGCGTCTTTTCTGACTACTTAATGAAACGAAGAAATGCTCACATTTCCTCATGGTTGCGACTTCAAAGCGGTCACCGCGACCGCATCCCGGTTTTACCAAAGACTGTCCTCAGTTGGCCCTCCAGAAGTGCCTGTTCACCTCACCCCTGAAGGTCTCTAAGGCATCAGGCGCAACTGTTTTAAGAAACCCTGCAGGTTCACATACACAGGGTCCATTGTCCAAGCGACGTTTCTGACTTAAAAATCTAAAAATCCGTAAGAGGCAGAATTGAAGCATTAAGAAAACGGTGGGAGATACAATAGTGCAGAGCAGGATTTGGGCGAGTCCCTTTTCCCAAATGCCCCCAAACAGATGTAGTACATCTGTTAATACAACCTTTAGGAATTAAGGGAAACAAACACATCCTCAGAAAAAAAGATGAAGGGGATTTGTCAACAGCAGTCCACCCTTCAGTAATGGCTAAACTTATTCCCCCAAACATAAAGGAAATGATAATTGAAGGACAATAGCACTTCGGGAAATCAAAAGAAAAGCTGAAATGTGCGAAGGTAGAGGTAAACATATTACATTATCCTCCTCCTCGTGAGTGTAAACAATTATGTTTGATGCTGGAAGCAGCAAAAACTACCTCATGTCATGTGATGCTCCATACATGTGGCTGAAATATTGAACACATTTATAATTTTAAAAAAGGAGGTTAGACAGAAGTTCGCAGAAGTGATATTTTGACACCACCCGAAGTGTTTTAAAATGTCAGTGTCGATAGGTTGGGGCTGTCAATAGACTGTGTGTTGTAACAACCAAGGTAAGCACTAAGATTCCACAAACATATATGAAAAATACAGATGAACCAAAATGCTGTTCTCAAAAAATTCAGGTAATCCACAGAAAGGCAAGAAAACAAGAACAGAAGAACAAGAAACAGAAGCAATAAACAGAGAACAAATAATGAAATATCTCACTCGAGTCCTACAAGAGCAATAATGACTTTCAATGTAACTCTCAGTATCAGCTAAGAGAGAGACTGATGAGTGGATTTCCATCAAAACCGTGAATCAAACATATCCTGTCTACTAGGAGCTCAACTTCAAATTTTATTAAATAATTTTAAAGATTTGCTCAAGCATGATTTTATGTTTCCTATAAACCATTTGCCCCCAAGGACTATAGGTGATTGTATAATGACTATAAATTTTAGAAACTTAACTTGGAAGCCCTGAATTCTTGAATGGAAAAAATTATTCATTCCATCCACTTTAATGTTCCCCATGCTGTAGAACTTACCTCCTCGATATCCCTGACCAAGGATAAATTTCTAGTTGGGGCAATGATGATTAAGTGACAGGACCTTTTGTTGTACAAAAGCACCCTTAATCCATTGGTCTAAACTGTAAATTTTGGGAAACCCTGGAGGATTAATGCTTTAGCACGGTAGATTTTCAGATAGTTCAAGAACACTCATGACTTCTAAATATTTGTTCTCTTAGCAACGATCCTTTCTTTGAATTATTCTTCATGAGATCTGTTGCTTTATCATCTGAGTTTGTTCTGGAAATACTCTATTAATGTTTCTCTTAAAATGAGGCATCTACAATGAAGTGCTCATAGTGGTTTTATTTCTTTTATCTAGACCTCTAGCTTCAGAAAAATCAGATAATAAAATGTTTATGAACAAACTAGTGTTTCTGTTTGAAAGAGTAAGTGTACTGAAATTTAATTCATAGCTCATAAAATCCATCCTTTGAGAATGTGCAATTTTGTGGTTTGTAGTGTTATCACAAAGTGTCAACCGTCCATCACCACTATCTTACTTTATTTTCAGTCTTTTTTATTGATTATACAGATTAAAGTGTTTTATTTTGGCACCTATGCTATGTACATGCATTGATCAATTTCAAATGATCCAATTTTAGGCCATTTTTCTCACCACGAAAAGAAACCCTGTCCTCCTTACCAATGAAACTCCATGTCCCACTGCCACTGGTCCCTGGCAACCGCCAATACAGTTTAGTTTTTGTTACAGAGTCTCACTAAGCTGCCTAGGCTGGTCTCAAACTCGCTATTCTCCCACCTCGGCCTCCCAGTGACGAGATTATAGGCATGCACCATCACACCTTCCTCACTAATGCACTTTCCATCGCTTGGATTTGCCTATTTTGGATATTTCATATAAATGCAGTGAACGATACGTAGTGTTTTGGGATGTCCTTTTTTCATTTAGCATAAAACTGTCAAGGTTTATCATATAGAATGTATCTGTGTTTCCATTTTTATGGTTGATTGCTATTTTATAGGTACAGCAAATTTTATTCACCCATCAACCAGCTGATGGGCATTTGAGTTGATTCTACTTTTCAACTACTATGAATAACAATGTTATTCATATTCATGTACACGTTTGTGTGTTTTCTTCTCTGTTGTGTACAGATCTAGCAGTGGAATTGCTGGGCCCTGTGGAAAGTCTATGTTTAACTTCCTGAAGAACAGCCAGAAAGGTTCCCAACTAGCCGCACCATTTAACAATCCTTCCCACAATATCTGAGGGCAGACACTCGTTACTGTCTGTCTTTTGGATCATAAACCTCCTGGTAGAGGTCAGACTGCAGCCAGTTGTGGTATAAATACATTCCGTTCTGTTTCCATCCATCTGTTAGAAGGCATTGTGAAGACAGTAAAACAGAGGGCTCAGCACTTGCTTGGTCCTCCACAGGACAGAACCCAAGCAACAGGTGTGTAGTGACGTGTGAAGGAGAGTGGCTGTGAGGGGACCCTGGAGTCCAACAGCAGAGAGATGGAGACCTGGGGAAACGCAGAGAGGAAGCATGTAGCATATCAAGGGAAACACAGCGTCCCAGCACCTGTCATGTGACATCATGCTTGGGGAGGGTGATTCACCCCTCTGTGGGGAAAAAGTAACAGAGAGAGCCTCAGCTCCACATCAAGCCAGCACCTCGCAGACACACGGCCTAAACCAATGAGAGCTGCAGACTGCACAGCTGCCTGGCTTTGGAGAACAGTGCACTGCATCTCCCTTGGATCCCCCGGGGTGAGAAACACAGGTTTCTGCGCTTGTAGTGCTCAGAGGGTCAGAAACCCCTCGATCATTCCACTGCACTGCCTCCGTGGCTGAGATTTAGCTGAGTGCAAAGGCCCTGGGTTCCAGCTCCACTATCAAAGAATAAAAAAGCTATCCTACGTATAATGATGAAGGAATCAAGTCAGCAAGAAAATTTAACAAGTATAAATCTGTATGCAGTGAACACCAGAACCCTGAATCTCACAAAACAAATACTACTAGATTTAAAAGGAGAGTTGGGCCACAATCCAATGTTAAAGGGGGGCTTCAATATTCCTTTCTCACAAATTCATCCAGATAGAGAAATCAAGAAAGAACTATCAGTCTTATTTCAGTATACACCAAAAGGACTTAGTAGCTATTTATAAATTATTCCATTCAATAGCTGCAAAATATGCATTCTTTTCATTACTACATGGAACTTTTCCAGGAACGAGGCAAATATCAGGCCACCCAACAAGTGTTAAAAAATTCAAAGCTGGGCATGATGGTACAGACTTGTTATGTCAGCACTCTTGGAAGCTGAGGCAGGAGGACTCAAAATTCAAACCCAGCCTGGGCAACTTAGCACCTTAGCAAGTCACTGTCTCAAAGTAACAAGTAAAATGGGGAAGATGATGCAGTTCAGTGCAAAGGCCCTGGGTTTATTCCCCAATACCACACACATACATGCACGCATGCACAGACGCACATGCACACACAAAATGGAAATGGTACCATGCATCTTCTCTGATCCCAGTGGAAAGAAACTAGATATAAACAGCAAGTGAAACTGCAGAAAGCACACAGTGACCTGGAGACTGAACAATATACTTTTAAATGAGCAATAGGCCATTGAAGAAGTCAGAGGGGAGATTTTAAATTTCCAGAGTCAAACAAAAGTACCAGCATACCAAAACCTGAGGGATATAGCAAAGGCAATACCAAGAGTGAAGTTTATAAAAATGAGTGACTACATAAAAAACAGA